TTGAGAGCACAGTGATGAGGAGTTCCTCTCACTGCCCCTCAACACATCCCCAGTTGAATCTAGTTGTACAGTTCCACCCATTTGTCTCCACCCCAGTGCCCACATGTTTACTGATTCTTTCTTGGAGTTTTTGCTTAATTTTGGTTAAGACCCTGCTGTTTATTAAAGAAGATAGATTTTATCTACTATGTCCTGGTCTTTTTTCTCAGCTACTTGGGAACATTGCATAGTAACTCAAATGTCTTCTATGATTCCTTGTAATATTCCTTTGGAGTTCTGGTATGGTACTGCAGGATAATGCACTGGACCGCAAGATTGGTTTGAACCATAAGGTCAGTGGTTCAAACCCACCAGTATCTCCTCAGAAACCCTATATAGGGTAGCTATGAGTCGGAACCAACTCAAAGGCACTTAACAACAACAACATTCTTCATTTAGCAGGGACCTAGTGAAGATGTGTATAGCACAAGGGGCTGCTTAGTCAAACCTCAAAAGCTGTGGGAGGATTGACTTAAGAGACCAGTTGGAATTCAACTACCCTTTTACAAGTCAGTTAAGTCCTGGGATGGCGCTGTACGATCCACACTGGACTGCTAACATCAAGGGTGGTAGTTCAAAACCACCAGCCATGCCTAGGAAACCTTATACAGGGTTGCTATGAGTCAGAACTGACATGATACTTAACAACAACAACAATTATTTGTGTGAGTGTGATATCTATTAAGCTGAGTACTGACAATCAAGATTTTGTTTTGGCACCAGAAATCCAATTCTTGACCACAACAATGTAGACTTTAGCTTTTCTGGATCCTTATACAAAAATTTTACATTTATAAATTTTTTTCTCTAGTCCTTTTTAAAAAATAAGAATTTTAAATTGACTGATTTAACTTTTCCTATTCTTATAAAATGTCCTTTTGCTCTGTGAGTGACTTTAATTCTACCTGATTAAATATTTTGAATCATTGGTTATCATTTCCATTTTGAAATTTCCACATTTAAATTAATAAAGTGTCTTTAAGTAAAATTATTTCAGCTATTTCAGTTCTGTCATGATCCTAGGAAGTTAACAACAGGAATAATTAAAAACTGTTACAAATAGCATTTGTATCTATATTTAAAAAGCTTAATTGACCAAGCAGATGTTGTTACAGATTTTTGTCTTTGATATGATGAATTTTCCATTAATTTTGGAAATACAGGGCTGAAAAAAAAATGTGCTTTCAAGTTTTGTGTTGTTGAGCTGTAATTTATGAAAGTTCAAGCAGCTGCCCTGACAAACCTCTTGATAAATTTATAACTGAGACTTGTTAGGGAAACATTGGTTCTAAAGTTTAATACTCTATATTTTTTGTTCAGACACACATACTTGAATAGCTTACCTTTTGTGGATCTAGAAGGTATGGTAAACATTTCATATATATGCACATATATATATGGCATTGCAGGATGATGCTCTGGATCGCAGGGTCAATTTGAGTAGCAAGATTGGCAGTTCAAACCCACCAGCTACTCCTCTGAAACCCTATACAGGATTGCCATGAGTCAGAACTGACACGATGACACTTAGCAACATATATATGTGTGACCATGTATAGAGTTTCCAAGGAGTAATTTTGAACCACCAACTTTGCGGTCCCATGCTTTATCCTACAGCGCTGCACTAGGATGCACAAACACACACGTACATGTTGCTGTTGTTAAATGCCATTGAGTTGTTTCTGACTCATAGTGATGCTGTGTAGGGTTTCTGAGGAGCAGCTGGTGGGTTTGAACTGCTGATCTTGTGCTTCACAGACCAGCGCTGATCCTCCAGCGCTATACCAGA